TGACGTATAGCTTTATCAGCAGCTTCGTATGCATACTTCGTATCTTCGGATATCGATAAATACTGCACATTAATGTCTTTCATATCGCCCTCCAATTTTATTAATGATTCATTTTGTTTTTTGCAGCCGATATCTCAGCAAGTTGTAACTGACTGGTTGCACTATTCAAGTCATCCCTAAATCACATAGCAACTCATTCAAGATTGAAAAAAATGCGCATTTAATAGCTGACATTGTAACAATAAAAGATTCAAAGAAACAAAATCTGAAAAGAAAAAAAAAAAACCAAAACCGAGCTTCCGTAATTTGCTCCGTTGCATTCTTTATTGCATCTTTAGCCACTTCCTGTGCAGTACCAGCTCTTTGTAAAGCTTCGCGTACCACTGTTGTAGTATTTCTGTAACAAAACTTTTGACGCTATCATTGATATGATTTTAAAACTACATGTCAGTTTTATTTCAAATTTAAAAGATAACTAATCGAAAGGTACTTCCAAGATTTTATTTAGCCCTATGAATATAATTTCACTATATTTCGTGTTGCATTCAACAAGCACACACCTGATTTCAGCGGCACGCATACTTGCCAATTCTGCAGATTTCTGTAAAGCTTCAGCGATTGTCTTATTCCCTCGTGTTTCATTCAAAATAGCATCAATGTTATTGATATTAAGCAGTCTCTCGCGAACCTGAAGAGAAAGAGGATATTCTGTTCAACAAGTAAAAAAAAAATTCCATCTCCCCCTCCCCTCGAATACACAATAAAATTTGTCGATTTTTCAGTCATTACTGGGAGGTAACAATTTCATTATCAGGATTTAACCGAATGTTATCCTCTTAACATGACGATATTTAACCTGATTTGCCAAATCCTCGATTTGCTCAGGTGTAAGAGATATTTTTGCCACTGTTATCTCTTCAGCTAATGCTCGGATTTGTTCTGGACTGGAACGTTGACTACTATCGATAAATTCCTTCATTTGATCAAAAATGTCTTCCAGAGAAGTACGAGTTTGATTTGCCTGGAAAAAAGAGTTTGACTTGGTGTTAAAGTTGGTGATTTATTTCAGCAAAACACAAAGAATATCTTTGGTAGAGAACAAGGTAAACAACCTGTCTAGCTGCTGCTTCAGCAATATCGTGGCCATCTTTAGCTTTGTTTTTTGTAATGAAAGTTTGCTGCAATATTTCTCGTATACGAGCAAGAACCTGCAAAGGATAAATTTAAACAACCAGGATTACTGGAAAATCTGCAAACGTACGAGCTCAGAGCTCATTAGCTAAACTTACCGTAATTAAAAAACCAACACTTTCGCCACTGTCCTATTAATTCTAAGACTAACCATTCATACAGCCCAACTCCTCTGTTGGTCTGTTTAGAAATAGAGCCTTTTGGAAAATGCTTAAAGACGCCAAAAGTGCAAATGTTCCGTTTAATCTATTCATTTTTAATTACTTCGTTATTACTATATACTACAACGAAGTAAAAAATTATTAACCACAAACCTCTTCTGCTTCTTCCTGCTTTTCGTTCAATTTTTGGTCCGCCTCATCAGCGAATTTCTTCGCCATTTCGGCTTTGCTTACAGAGCCGGAAAGACATGATCGCCCACCACAATGGCCACAAGCTCCTGGTCCACCACATAGCTGATCACAAGGAGCTGATTCTGCACCGCAAACGTCTCTATTCAATATCGGTAATACAGTTTCGAAAGTAGCCAGCTAAAGAGTGTTTAGCAAATATTTTCTGCGGAATGGGGGAAGGAAGTGCAAATTATTTCCTCCAAAAAGAATCAGAAAGTGATAGTAACGAGTTAGTTATACAGTTCAGTAGTAAACATAATGTACATTTGAATATTTGCGTTGTTAATTCGAAAAAAACAAACCTGCTTATCAATTCGCACCAAAGCCATTTCATTTTCACTGAACTGCTTCTCGAAATCAAGTTGATTTTTATCTAACAGCTGTATCGCTTCTTGCCTACTGCTTTCAGCGCTGGTAATTTTTGAATCTGCCTGATCGGTGCGCAGCTTTGCAGCAGATGATTTTTCGGCTGATTCCCGAGTAATATTATATGCTCCCTGACAGTGTAAAAAACTGATGAAATATAAACAATTCTCAATAATTTCAACATCTCTAATCCTATAGGCCTCTACTTTCCCGAGTAAAACCAATAAACTATAAGAGTTACACATGAAAGAAAAAATAAGCTGATAAAGATTTCGTTAGTTTATCTTTTTTTATCACTCTACTAACAGCCACAACCCAATATTCTAAGAATAAGAGAAATCTTCCAAGCCTCCTGAAGGACAGATTAAATGCGTATTAAAATGCGAAATACGAAACGAAGACGCGCAGCAACCATAACTGTTTTATTTTCAAACAAAACTGAATTGAATGGCTGTTACCTGTACGTCAGCAACTCGTAATAATGTTGCATTTTCCTGAAACTCCTGTGATTTTTTCGTGAGTCTGTCAGCTTCTTCGATTAATGATTTTAATTCTAAATCAGCCCCATCGACATTACTTGAAATCTCAGTTATACGTCCTCCAACAGCATTCAACGATTCTTTTTTCAAATTGATCTGTAATAAAATGCAAATCAAAAATGTAAGATGACAACACGAACAAAATTAACCCATTAGATTTTCTTAATGACGTAAGCATTTGGGTGAAAAAAAAAAAGAAAATCCACACTTTGACAGGCAGACTAAATTAGACAAACAAATAAGTTGGACAAATACATCTTGTCGAAGTTTCTCGATTTCATTTTGCAATCCAATGATGTCACTCCATGTTATATTTGCTGATTCTAGCTGCGTCTTCAAATCGGATAGAGTGTTTTCCATCTTTTCGAATTCATCATCATAAACAGAGGCAACGCCTGTATCCTCAACGCTTTTAGCTGTTTCTGAAGATTTATTTTAATTGAAAAACCGGAATTTAAAATTGAACTTCAGAACATATAACTACAGTTATGTGTTAGTACTTATTTCATTCAGAACGCTCATCAATTCTTACCTCGAAAAATGCAGCATTCATTTTTTACCAAGAAAATTTCTTTTCCCCCTTTTTGTTCGCCAAAATGCATGGAATTAGTAATATATTACAGCCAAGCGCAAAATTTTGCAATTTCTTGCGATTAGAAAATATTTTGCTACCAACAAAATGCTTCAAAATACATAAAAATAAATTACCGATCAAAACTTCAACTTGCTTCCTCAAATTCTGAATAATTTCATCCCAGTTTTGGAAACATTCACCACAAGCCTCACATTGTGGCCATTGGCCGGTATATCCTCGAGCACACATGTTACATAATGGTCCTGAAATATTTAGCTTATCAGTAAAGAATAAACCTTACTTATTGGCTCAAACTAACTAAAATTCATTACGAATCATAAAGAATAAGTGTAGCTAGAATTAAACTTAATCAATTATTTTGAAAATATAAAAAACAGCTTACCTCCTGAGCCAGGTAAACAAACGCATGAACCATTATTACGATCGCACTGCTGAGTGGCAGAGCCAATTTCGTCACATTCACATTTACGACATTCACCAGTTGTTGGATCACCCCAGTGATAATCCTCACAATCCGAACTGCAAGGATATAAAAAGCCTTGTAAGGATGTATTCGATAAATTCAAAAAATAAGCTGAAAAAAATTAATGATTTACCACGTGCGCCCTCCTCTTCCTATCTTGCAATAACACCGCCCATCCAGTTCATTACATTGTAAATGAGGCATATCGTCATCACTAAGAATAACACCTGTAGGATCACATTCACACGGTTCACAGCCTTTTCCTGAAAATCAGAGCAATTTACGACAGAAATCTATTTGAAGTTTTATTACTTGATATGAAAACGTCACACGACGCATAAATCTCCGGCAGTAACGACGGACAACAAACAAGTAAACAAACAAACATGGTAACATACAATAAAAATATTTAAGCAAATGCATTTACCACTAGCCAAATCAAAATGATGCGGTGCACATAAGTCACACGCTATTCCTACAACATTCGGTAAACAGGAGCATTGGCCGGTAACACGATCACACGCACCAGCTGTTTTGTTTGTTCCCAAATCGTTACAAACACACCTGTGCAAACATAATGTTGAATTGATTAGTAAATCGCATCAATAAAACGAAATCAAAAAACTATGAACTGAATAACTGAACAGTCCTGGAACCTTATCAAACTACAGAAACGATTTGCTGATAAACTATATAGTCTTTCGAGATTCAGTTTCACTCCACACTACACTATGGTGTGATTGGTATTTTAAAGCACTAGCTCATGAACCTTTCAAGCATAGAAGTTTAACATTAAAAACCACAAAAGGCAAGCAAAGTCCCTACAATCTATCTACACTGAATGTAAAAATAATGTTCTTATACTGTTTGACAATTAATAAATTTACCCTATTTCTATGAAACTTCTCCAGCTTCATTTTTACTAAAGAACTAAAGTTATGCAACTATAAATATAAAAATTCGAGAAAAATTCAAACTAGACATGAATTTAAATGATTGATTTCAACTATTTTTTACTTTTGACAGCTTCGTATCTTCGCATCACCATGATAACCTTCGATACAATCTTCGCACTGTACACCTTCCGTGTTGTGAAGACATTTAATGCAATCGCCAGTTACTGGATCACAGCTTCCTTCCACATTTACATCAATATTACCATTGCAATCACATGGTTCACAAGTTCCACCTAATTCGTTCGGATTTCCCCAGTGATTTATCGCACACGAAGAACATCGCTCACCAGTATATCCTGTCCTGCAATAAAGTCGCTGACATTTCAAATTTAACTATAATACGAATCACAATTAATGGTGAATTTGCACGTAATTTGTAAAATTAGCTAAAATATACCTGCAGTTACACACTACATCCGGAGCTTCAGAATGTTCGCTAGGACGAAGATAACATGTATCTGCATGTTGGAAACCGCTATCCAAACCACCAGGACAGGGACATGGCTTGCAAGGCAAATTGATACCAAGTCGAGGGTCACCATAATAACCATCCTAAAAAAAATCAATACCTAGCATTTACATGCAATCTGTTTACAAATTAGAATAAGGCAGTGGATATATGCGTCAAAATTTAAAATTTACATGACACTTGACCAAGAGTAAATACATCCGTGTAGCGGCTAAGCAAATAACTTGTTTGGAAAGTGGAAACACTCTGTGTATGTTATAAACGAAATGGAAAAGAGAACTCTGTGAACTTAAGGTACTATATTGCAAGATACAATTGAAATATACAGTACAAAATAAGAGAATCTTACACTGCACTGAATTTGCAATATCATTTTGTTACCTTGCAACGGTCGCAATAATAACCATCAGTAAGATCAAGACAATCAATGCAAGCTCCCGTTTTCTGATCACATATAGAAGCATGATCATTGCACTGACAAACACGGCAATCTGGAAAGGACCAAAATCCTGGCTGACACTGATTACATTGCCTAAAAATAAGTGGAAATGATAACAAGTGGAATGGAAATGATTTCCTGCTCAAAATAATTTCATACAAATACATATGGCTGAAAATGATAAAATGGATATTTTTAACATTTGTCACTATTTTCAGACATTTAAGAGATGCCCTAAAACTGCGAATGCTAAGTATGAAGAATTAAATTCATTCTTCATGATTATGAAGCACTGCTACTGATAATTTAAGAAAATTCGAAAAAGAATAAAACTATTAATTTTTGGATATATGAGTTTTTCATTAAAATGTAGGGGAAAATACAAAAAGCAGCACCTTCCCGTAATTCCACGTTCCCTGCAACTACATTGACCACTCTGCCGATTACAGTTGTTATTTAATGAGCCGACACTATCACATTCACATGGCGTACAACCGGAAGGACCAAAACCATATGTTCCAACTGCACACCGATCGCATCTCAAACAAGATTAAGTTTAAATCAAATTGCACCCTAATTACAAAGGTCATAATCTATAGAAAACATGACAGTTTTCAGTAAAATATACGTAATATGAAAATCATTCCTAGCTTCCTATCTTACCGAGAATTGATTATGAATACTTTTCGGTATTTTTCTCGAGCGTTAGAATATGAAACATCATGGAAATAACACAAAAACATTTAAGCTGCCATTAAATGGCAATTATACAATGATAACGACAAAGGTCCCGAAAAAATACCTCAAATGAGTTCGATTTCCCAACCAAAGGTTCAAGGACTTCTAAAAGGAATTAAACTACAGCTTCGAGTACAAATCAAAAGCAATTAATCAGCTATGAACAGATTCAACAAACAATTCAACCTTCTTCCAACAACATTTGGTTTGCAGTCGCACTGTCCACCCTTACCGGAGCATATTCCGGAAAGTGAACCTGTAGGATCACATTCGCATTCCAAACTACGATTGAATAACATTGCTGCAACCGGACAAATATAGCGAACGCACACGTCAGGCAAATCTGACATCGGCGTTAAGGATAACTGTTGTGCCCTGCACTGAGAGCGGTCGTACTCCACTCTAGAACCATAAATATACATTATTATCGGAATTCTTATGGAGAATTAAAGACTACTTCAAAAAAAAATAATATCGATGATAGACACTTGAAAAATAATAACCTATGATGATTGTCAGCAGAAATTCCTTGTGAAATGAACAGTTCTTCAGTTGGCGGGACAAGGACTATTGAATCAATAAGGACAGTAGCTGTTCTGTCGCTTATTTTGGTTCTCTTTTCTCCCATTTGTACAAGAATTTCGTACGGAACGCCAGCTTCTAGACAAACATCCGGCATAACCTAAATTTTTTCAAACTGTATGCTTAGGAATAATAATGCTTAAGGAAAAACCTAAGATTTAAGGAGTAAACAGTGTTATATATGTAGATCAGTGATCGCAATCATGTGGGAATGACAGAATTCAAACTTAAAATTTAGAACATAAAATACAGGAGTCAAACCATTGCGATCCCTTACAAGTATTGGAATGATCTTATCATGATAAGCAATAACGATGAGAAGGAATGCAAAAATAAATTCTGCGCAAGAGAGATTCTTACCTCAACATAATGTAAGCTAGGATGAAGTTTTGCAGTTAAGAAATCATCCGAGGGTGAAAGATTCTTACAGACTCCATCGGATGATGGATCTGTAGGCCGTACAACTGTTAGCTGTATATTTTCCCACCCAACACCATCCTGAAAATGAAATCCACTACAAACATTTCTTCCTGGAAAGTTAAAGTGAAATTATATGACAATAAGTACAGCCAGTAATACTGCAAATTCTCACCTGCATTGGTTCGTATTTAATAATGATATTGTAGTGCATGCTCTGAGCAAGGTTGTCGATTTTAAATACCAACTGAGTATGTTCACTGGCTCTAACAAAGCCATCACCTGTCCATGTGTGATCCCTTACGAGTACTGGAAGTTCTCTGAATTCGATTTGTCCCTGTAATTTGCTGAGTGAATTTCTGAATGAACATTACCATTATCAATGCTCTTACCAACATCTATAACAGAATTACTCCAAAACTTACTGTGTATTAATCAGTGAATGGATCATTAAAAGATTCCGTAACAAAGCACTAGTCTTCCCAATATCCAAAGTATGTAATACTTACATCAGTGATTTCTGCTTCCTCTGCTTCCAGTGTATAATGATTAATAGATGGGCAGTAATAAGCACTTTCGGCAGTGTCACAACGTCGACCACTGAAGTTTCTTCTACATGTGCACTGTCCGGTAATAACATCACAGTGATTATCAACTGATCCACCCAGATCACAATCACAAGCTTTGCAACCGTAAGGATCATCACTCAGTCCATAATGTTCTGGCTGAAAAATATGCCGTTTCGATTAGATAAATGTACTTGACGTAGAAAAAAGAAAATGAACAACCCGACCTCTGGTACTTTGATTCACAAAAAAAGACGCAAGAAACTAACTAAGCATTTGTCACAGGCATCACCAGTGACAAGCTGTTTGCAAAGACATTCACCAGTTTGCTTATTACAACCCTCATTGTTGAATGAGCCTAGTAAATTGCAACTACATGGACGACAACCATTTGGATCGTCAGCGGTCAATTTCCAAAATCCATTTTTACAATGGTCGCACCTGAAATAATGTTGGCAACTGTAAAACATGTAATTTAACCTCTCCACGATTTCTGATTTACCGAAGCCTTAGCCAAATGTATGAGATATGATTTTGACCGGAAGTTACTATCCCGAATCATGTTACATTGTCACGTCCCGGAATACAAAGATTTGCACAAAGTTAAAAACTTACCATGGTCCTTCGACATTCGATTTGCAGTAGCATTTGCCAGCAACAAGACCTCGTTCCGGATCTTCTTCACCTTCACAGATTCCATCATTCAACGAACCAGTCTGTAAACGAATCAAACCTTGGCAAAAACAGATCATATAGCACCAAAAACAAACAAATGAAATGAACGACGACAAACCTTGTCACATTTGCACGGTAAACAAACATATGGATCAGTAATTGGTCGATCTGGATTCCGATAGAAGTAGGGCTTGCATTGTTCGCAATTCTTGCCTTGAGTATTATGTAAGCATTCATCACACACTCCCCCTGATACGAAGCCTGAAAAAGATTTCCTTAGGCTAATAAAGCGAAGACAGATAAAGAAAGTTCAAGGATGTCCTATAGAAGGATATCTAAATAGATATTATGAAATTATTTATCGAAAATATATACCTCAATTTTTTTTTGCGTGCTTAACTGATAGACTTCTCGATTTTCAAAGCATGAATGAGATTTGAAAGTAAAACTATTAGAATCTCAGAAATTCCCCAACTTTCGGTTTAATAAAGATGAAAATTTACCAGAAGCTTGATAGACCGCACGATCGAAATGGCACCTTGCTGCATGACCGTTGCATTCACATCGTTTGCATTCATTTGAGTCATCACCAATCGCTGGACGCCACGGTAAATCATTAAAAAATCCATGCACTGTTCACAGTTTAATCCCTTCGTGTTGTGTGTGCACTCACATCGTCCATGTACCTGTGATGGTCGAAAACTTCATTTGAAATGAATTTTCTAAATAATATTAGTGACACTACAGAAATTTAAGCAGAACAAGAGTAACAGAATCAAACCTACCTGAAAAAATATAGTCGGTCTCGGAATATTTGCAAAAAAAAAGGATCGATTGATAATAAAATGGTACCATATCAGCCCGATAAGGAACAGAAACTCGGGCAGCATTATCCATTGGTATACAACGCTGAGCATGACCATAACAAGAGCATGAACCACGAACAACCAATTCATAGATGGCGTAATAATATTTCTCATCTATTTCCGGTCTAAAATTGAAATAACTTGAGCACAGATTCAAATTCACACATGGAGAATAATTCCCCAGGAAATGTCAATGAAGCATGTTCCAAATATACCTTTTCAATACTTGTTTTCCAATTACATCTTAAAATCAGTTAGAAAAAACTGTC